AGAACAAACACAAAAAAAAAAAAAAAAAAAAAGTGCGTGGAGTTAGGAGGTTAGCGTTTGGTTGCATCCAATCGCAGGCAGGAAATGGATATGGTTCCTTATCCTGTAACCCAATTTCAGTCCGCCACTGTCACTGCCACATGTTCGTTAATGAACAAACACAAACACCACTTCAACCACTTCACACAAGCTCAAGCATAACCAGATTATTATTAATGGAAGCTATATTCCTCACCAAACCAGCTTCTCACCTCAAAACCAAACACTCCCCCAACCCCAAACACCTCTTCCCTTCCAAACATAAATCAATTCTCCCCCTCCGCCGCACCCGCACCCGCACCCGCACCAACTTCCCCGCCGCAATCCAAAACCAACAACAGCAAGAGGCGCCAAAACCCACCGAAGATGAGTCCTACGGAGAAGTCAAAGGCCTCATCGCCAGCAGAGCCGTCGACGCCGCCGCCATGGAGTACCTCATCGAGTGGAAAGACGGCCACGCGCCCTCCTGGCTCCCCGCCGAATTCATAGCCAAAGACGTCGTCGCCGAGTACGAGACTCCCTGGTGGACCGCCGCCAAGAAAGCCGACGACTCCGCGTTAAGAAAAATCCTCGACTCCGCCGACGGCCGCGACGTCGACGCCGTAGACGCCGACGGCCGCACGGCGCTCCTCTTCGTCGCCGGCCTCGGCTCGGAGCCCTGCGTGAAGCTGCTGGCGGAGGCCGGCGCGAATCTGGACCACCGCGACCGGAGCGGCGGGCTCGCGGCGCTGCACATGGCGGCGGGGTACGTGCGGCCGGGCGTGGCGAAGGTGCTTCTGGATCTCGGCGCGGATCCTGAGGTGGCGGACGAGCGCGGGAGGACGGCGCTGGATCTGGCGCGGGAGATTCTGAAGGCGACGCCGAGGGGAAATCCGATGCAGTTCGGGCGTAGGATAGGGTTGGAGGGCGTGATTAGGGTTTTGGAAGGAGCGGTGTTCGAGTACGCGGAGGTGCAGGAGATTGTGGAGCGCAGAGGGAAGGGTGAGAATTTGGAGTACTTGGTGCGGTGGAAGGACGGTGGTGCCAATGAGTGGGTGAAGGCAAAGTTTGTGGCGGAGGATTTGGTCAGAGACTACGAGGCTGGCCTCGAATACGCCGTCGCTCAGGCGGTTATAGGTCGTAGAGTCGGGGATGAAGGCACGCCCGAGTTTTTGGTTAAATGGGCCGATTTGGATGAGCCCACCTGGGAGCCTCAAGAGAATGTGGACCCTGAGCTTGTCAAAGCTTTCGAGGAGAGTACTAACCAGGCCCAGCCCAGTATTAATGGGCCTGCTGTCGTCGTTTCAAATCAGGATAGCGCCTGATTTTTATCCTGTATTTGGACTTGTAACGGCTTGCTGTTGCAAAGGATTGTTTTGTACCAAAGCAAGACACGGACAAGAAAAATCTAATTAAATCTCATCCAAATTTTCCCCGTGTTTTTGCATCTTATTTTATTACTATTGTTACAGATATTATAAAATCATTAAGGTATAATGACACTGAAGCTGGATAATATTTATAACTGATAAAATGAATAACATTTATAATATAAGTATAATAATGTAATGGCTAACGATTCACCAATGAAAATGGATCACATTGTAATATAGGTAGATGCGTATGATCATAATCCAGCAATAGACTCCTATAAGTGTGAAATAATATTATTGAAAGGTCTCACAAGAAAACAGAGTTACATATCTTTCAACAACTAAAGATGTATGATTTATTTTTTATTTGCTCGTATCTATTTTAATATATAGGTCTAATAATTATGTTTGTAAGTTTTTTTTTGTTTTTGTTTTTTTTTTTTTAATTTTGCATCCGTATTTTAAGGTCTCTATTTATATAAATTTGACTATATCAGGGGATTATTTTTGCCAAAAATCAAACTTATATTATTTGTCCTTGAGTTCAATACATTAATTATTTGTGTTTAATTATTTGATTTTGTACGGATTATTTGGCTTTATTAATGTAATTAAAACAAATATACAAGTCAATTTTGGAAATATAACAGAGAATGGAATGAATTAAAATTTTGAGTGAAAAAACTAATAAAAATAGTTTTATGATGCACGTCTAGTATCTAAAAGAATTTTAATTAAATACACGTATCACTGAATATGTGATGAAAATATTTAGTTGAGAGATAAGTTAAATCACTAATTGAGTGTTACTGTCATATAAAATTAGGTTGATATTAAATTAGCTAGGTTGTGAAATAAAACTTTTGTAATCTAAGGGGGTGTATTGGTTTAGGATTTCGTAAGATTTTAAAAAAATTTTGTAAATCCAACCATTAGATTAAAATTTTTTTACTCTTAGATTATATTTACAAAATTTACATTTAATATAAAGTTATTAAGCGGTATAATATTTGGTAAAAGTTACATCAGTGTAATTATAACCCCTGTTTAAAATAAATAGAAAAATACAAGCAAAAGGTAATGAAATATCCTTCTAATTTACATCATTCAAATTTTGACTTCAGATATACAATAGGAGAATCTATCTGAACTGAATTGTCCACGAAAAAAGACTTGTCAAAGATAAAGCACTTGCCTCCATTAACGCAAAACAACTCCCATGGCTGTGAGTGACGGTGACAAATTTAAAAATAAGAATTTATCTAAGTTATACATAAACATTAAAGTAGCAAAATATTGTAATTGTGTGTTTTGTTAATTAGTTCAATAATATATAGCAGAAAATATTATTTCATGAAAATAAATTAAATATATTTTTTAATTAAAGACTCCATATTACAAATATTTAATCATTATTTTCACATGTTATTACAAAGCTTCATAAACTTATAATAAAAAAATGATATTTTTATTAACTATATTTTATAGGTTAAATATGTGATAAAAATAATTTTATTCCTAAATTGTTCCTTTTCAAATACGTATAACTATAAAGTTTTTAAGTAATGAATTATTAAAATGCAGATATATCTTGTTGATATAAATAATACAAATTAATTTCTTTAAATTTTCATCAACTGCACAATCTTGTTGATATGTTACACATACACAAATCATTTTATTTATCTCGTTCAAGTGTATTCAGATTTTTACACAACATATAACTTTTAACATTAAAATAATAAAAATAAAAAATAAAAAGACTATTTAAAAAAAATTAAAAAAATTCTATTTAAATATTTTTTCATAAGAGAAAAAACTATAATCTCCGTAACAAAGACTACAAAAAAATATTTTATCAAATAAAAAATAAATAACACTTAAACATGTTTATTTTATTATAAAAATAAAATAAAATAAATACTTAAATTATATATAAAAATTAATTAGAAAAAATGTTTGTATCTGGCTGTAAGGATACGTTGGTTAATGATATTTCCACAAAAATAAGAATGAAAAAATAAGTGATTTTTTTTTAT